AGAAAATAAAAAAATAACATTGTTAATTTTGTATCTATTCTGTTTCATTCTTCTGCAAATCAAAGGAATGAGTTTTGACATGCATATGAAGTCAGTTAAAGCAGACCTTCCCAATAAGTTACTTTAATTTTATCCTGCCTCATCCCCCCTCCCTCTTTCACATTTGGATATTCATTTTGTTTATTTAAACTTATTAGATTTCTTTGTGATGCTCAGGCGAGAATGACGATCATGCATCCCCCATCCCCCTCCCTACCCCCCTGCTTCTGCATAAATATGCCGCAGGTCTTTGGGTCCCAGCCAAGCAAAGATGGTCTGGTATGGAATTTCCAAACTGCCATGCTTGTGCATGGCGGTAAATTTCCCAAAGATGTGCTGAAAGGCTCTGACAGGACCTGTAGCCACACCAGTAATATGAAAATGGTCGCATTGGATGGAGAGCATAGCCAAATGAATGGGGACTGAAGTTCCTCTTTAAAGCAAACTTTTGGTGTGACAGGTGGTTATGGCCCTGCCCTCTAGGGTCTCACTGTGGCATGGTGATAGTGTTTTGTTATGGAAAGCAAAATTCCAAACTGTAGGCCCAAAGGCCATCACAGGTGTCAGCTAGATGATGTCAGTTTGGACTAAGCTAGCAAAATACCCTGTGCAGAAAATGCATGATCTTTGATAAAGTGTTCATTTCATGCAATAATTCCACACCAAAATCATATTTGTCTGTGAATTAAACATTTGGAAGAGAAAAACTTCAAAAGCTAAAATAGAAAATAGTTAAAATAACTACATTATGCGATTGTTATATAGTCATACCACGTTGCACTGCAATAGCATATCGTACTGTGCAGGGTTATTACTGCAAATTAGAATCCTGTGAGGTCATTGTCCAAAAATGGTCCATATATGGTCAATGACCTCATCAGGGAGATCCGCCCCTTTTTTATGACAGCTGTTATTTGGCAGGAGTGAAGTGACATGATGATGTCAGAAGGCAGCAGGACTAAGGTAAGTTCATTAAATAAAGAAAAAAACCCTCTCGCGATGCCAAACCTTATATGATAAACTAAGAGTGGCTGCAAACACCAAATTGTGTTCTGACAACACTAATAAATAAATGAATAAATAAATAGTGCTGTGCTACTCACTAAACTTAACCATAAAGCAAAAAGTAAACACCTGACAGAGCCCCTAACTAAGGTCATATAAGTTGGTATAAATAACTGAGCACCTTCTCTTACCTTAAAATGAATATATAGTAAAATGTGGAATGAATATTTGAATAGTGATAATTAACCCTCTAAGTGGCATGGATCCACTTGTGATTTTAAATTAGTGTGTTTTACATCACCGTGTTAAACACCAATGCCTACAAATATAAAGGTGTATTGGGATATGATATGTGCTAGCTGCCCCCCATAAAGTGTAAAATCACTTTAAAATCAAAAATAACTGACTGGGGGAGGAGCCTGAACACGGCGGCTGAGGAGAGCGCGAGAGGTAGTAGCTCTCCGCCAGGCTCCACTTCCCGACCTCCCCAGGGGACCTCCTGATGTAAGTGAATGTGGGGCGAGACTCACCGGAGTGCGGAAAGACTCGGCGGAGTAAACCGAGAACCGGGGATGTGAGGAGCTGGGAGGTGGCGTCACGGGACGGCGAGCTGGGTTGCTGGGAGACGAGGAGACGCGGCGTGACCACGTGATCCGCCGCGGAGGAGAACTGGGAGGAAAAGAAGTCGTCCGGCTTCCCGAGGAGAGAAGGAGGTGCCGGTCTGCTCCTGGCTTCGTTCCCCGTCATGCTGTCCGGTTTGAAGTGGACACATGAGACCCAGCTTGCTCTCCACGGATGGACCCCTAATAAAACGGGTATATAAAAGAGAAGAGTAAGAGATCCAGAGGAATTCCCCTAAGGACTGACCTATCGAGGAAAGCCCTGCACCTGAAACCTGGAGCCGCCTCGCAGAAAAGGAAGAAAGAGGAGGGTGAGTGAGAGCGGCTGGGGCTTGCTGTGTGCTAACTGTCATACTGTATTGCATAGAGGAGCAAAGGGTGAAAGAGAGGAGGGGGGGATTCCCAAGGGTCTTAAAGAAGTGGAGAAGAGAAGAGGATTAAGAGGACTAAGAAAAGAAAAAGTAAATGGACAAAGAGTAAGGCAAGGCTGGGACACTAATATAGACATTTAACATTTACTTATCCTGAGTATATAGAAGAGAATAAGACCCATAGAGGATATGAAGAATAAAGGAGCTAAAGGAAGTGGGCTGAAAGGGTCCCAAACTGGTACGATCAAAAAATACACGTCCCAGGGAAACGTTACCCCAGAAACGTCCCAAGGCGTAAGCGAAAAGGGTGAAATGGAAACTAGTCTGGGAAATAGCCCTAGATTATTATTGGGCATGAATAGTAGCTGTAGTCAACAAATAGCAGGTATTATGGAGAAGAAAGAATCTGAAAGTGAACTACATGTACCGAATAAAAAAGAGATGACAGAAATGTTTAAAAGCTTGGAGAACACAATAAAGCAAGAAATGGCAACTATCCGGAATGATTTGGGGCAGTTGTTATTGAGAGTGGAAGAAACGGAGGAGAAAGTTAAAAATCAGGCCCAAACCATAGCCGATTTAGAAAAGAAGATAACAAATATGGGGAAAGTTCAGAAAAAATTGCTTTATAGGATAGAGGTACAAGAAAATAGAGACAGGAGGAGTAACCTAAGGATACGAGGAATTACAGAAACTGCAAAAGGGGAAACATTGCAAGAATTAGTATGCAGAATTTTAAACTCCATAATGGACAGACCTGAACGAGACTTGATCAAACTGGACGGAGTTTTCAGAATAGGAAAGCTCCAACAGGGTACTGGGAAGGAAAGACCGAGAGATACAGCTGCCCAATTCCAAAAGTATGGTGATAAAGATGAGATCTGGAGATAGATCAAAGGAAGAACAACAATTAAGAATGGAGAAATAGACTTAACACCAGAGACCTTGTGGAGAATGAGATCCCTGAGACCCCTGCTGGAGCAGATGAGAAAGCAGAACGTGCATTATAGATGGGGGACCCCAGCGTGCCTAATTGGGTGGAGAAATGGAGTTACAGCTTATCTGAGATTTTCAGAGGACTTGAGAGACTTCTGTGATAGACTGGACTTGCAAAGAATGGAGATAGCTGGGTGGGAAGAGAGGATGGAGAAATAGGAGCTATAAGAAAAGAGGACTGGCAGCTTGTTAGAGGGGGGAAAGGGGGGGGGGTTTAGGAGAGAGAATTAAATTTTTTTTTTCTCTTCCTCTCCTTCTCCCTCCTCATGATACCCCCTCCACATTTCCGTTCTAAGGGGTCGGTGGAAATTTACTGAGTCAACTTGATAGAGAGAGGGTAATTGGGGAGGTTGGAGGAAGGGAGAGCCGTTCATGGGCGAATGTCAACCCCAAAGTTTTAAATCAAAGGTGGGAATAGGCCCACAAATGATCAGTAGGCATTTCACAAGCCTAAAAATGGGAGGGGGAAAAAACGGGAGGGGGATGGGTGGGGGGGTGGGAGGTGATGGATGGGAAGAGGGGTGGGATGGGAGGTGGTGGGGGTGGGGTTTTAGGGTCAACACTCTGTATGATAGACGGAGGTATAAAAGCAAGGAAAGAGGATGAGGAGAGATGGAGGAGTAGAAGAGAGATTTAAGAAGGAAGATGGAAGAAATACAGTTTATAACTTATAATGTGAATGGGTTCATTTGTCCTGGGAAAAGATTTAGATTATTTAAAGAGTTACAACATAGAGCATCTTCAGTAGTATTTTTGCAGAAGACACATTTTGAGATAGAGTCAAATGTTAAGTTAAAATCTAAATATTATCCAACATGGTACTATGCAGATTCCCCAATTAAAAGAGCAAAAGGAGTAGCAATAGGGTTTGCAAAGAATATAAGGTTCGAGCTGGAGGATAGAAAGATAGATCCGGATGGGAGATTTTTGTTTTTAAAAGGTAAAACTACAAGAAATTGAGTGTACAATAGCCAATATGTATTGCCCAAATAAGAAGCCGGAGATATTTTTAAAGGGTGTGCTGAAAAAGATTGATGGACTTTAAAAAAGGCCGTTTGATATTAGTGGGAGATTTCAATTTTTGTATGGATCCACAAAAGGATGCAACCTCTTCTGTGCAGGGGGAGGGGGGTAGGTCTCTGAGATTACTGAAAAAGGTGATCCACGAGTGCCAATTAGTGGACAGCTGGAGAATGATGCATATGAATGATAGAGACTATACCTTCTTCTCAAATGCACATGAGATATACTCGAGATTGCATTATATATTAATAGATCACCAACTTATTGAGTTTCTGGTTAAAGTAGAAATGGAAGCAATGTCTCTTTCGGACCACGCCCCTGTTATAATGAAAATGGGATAGGGAAGGCGGTGGACAGGAGGCTTAGGATGGAAGATGAATGAGGCACTTCTCCTGGATAAAGATACTGCTCAGAAGATTGAGGAACAGATTAAGCGATATTTTAAGGAGAATGAGACAGAGGATGTGTCAATATATATATATATGTATAAGAGGAATCTTGATCGCGATTGGGGCAAAAAAGAAAGAAGAGAGAAAATAAATGGGTTCCTAAAAGAAATATTTGACCTGGAACAGATACACAAGAATAAAATAACAAAAGAAACAAGGCAGGATGTCAGGAATCTAGGAATGACCAGAAAGGTGTGGACTGACACAGGGAAACGCAGGTTTCAGGTATAGTATAATAATACAGTTTATTATTAGCCACCCAGATATATATATATATATATATATATATATATATATATATATATATATATATATAAATGCACAGTGAACAAACCAACCTTCCACTAATCTTAGTACGTGCAGGAACACAGGCGTAGTCAGGGCTGGAGAGGAGGAATGGTCAGGCGGCCGTAGGGTTCTGTAACGACCGTCTGGTGGTACCTCTAGCGGTCCTCAGGACAGGATTCCCCAGGGAGCGGAGTCTAAGTCCCAGTCTGCTTATTCACCAGGGCCCCTGATGGTGGGGATGGACTTGGAGCAGACAGGAACCAGGTCGCGGCCCCTGAGTACACCTGCCTGTGGTAGAGGGATCCACCAGAGGTATGTGCAGGTAGAAAGCCTGATGTGAAGAGGCAGAAGGTGTGAGTAGGGACGGCTGGATCTGTGCAGGATGGATGGATGGCAGAGTAGTAGCGTGGTCAGACGGGCCAGGTCAGCAATGTGCGGGCAGCGAGGTACCAAAGGAGCAGGCAGAGAATGGTCAGGGGCACAAGCTGGGTTCAGTAACTCACAGGCAGCGCGGGGATTTGGTACAAAGGATCAGGCAGAAGGTGTGAGTAGGGACGGCTGGATCCGTGCAGGATGGATGGATGGCAGAGTAGTAGCGTGGTCAGATGGGCCAGGTCAGCAATGTGCGGGCAGCAGCGAGGTACCAAAGGAGCAGGCAGAGAATGGTCAGGGGCACAAGCTGGGTTCAGTAACTCCCGGGCAGCGCTGGGGGTACAAAGGATCAGGCAGAGAATGGTCAGGCAAGCCAGGGGTTCAACAGGAGACGGTCAGCAGAGGTCAGGATCAAGCAGGGTCAGCAACGAAGCAGGAACACAGGGTACAGGGGCTCATGGGAAAACATACACCAAGGCCCAGATCACAGGCCTGGTCATGCCTTAAATACACCTTCTGCAATCAGCCCCCAGGTTTGGCTGATTGCAGGTGTGAGCTTCTGGCTGCTGAGAGCACCCGCTGGGCAGCTCTGGTACTGCAGCCCACACGGCAGGTGAGTCCACCACCAGTGCTGAGTCCATTCCTGACACAGAAGGTATTAAATAAGAAAGAAGAAATAGAGACTTTGTTATAGACTCTTCTCCTCTCCTCTTCCATCAAAGTGTTAAGTGAGAGATATAGATGGGGAGATAGACCAGGAAATTATTAATGAGAGCCCTGAGGAAAAAGAAAAACAGGAACTATATAGAAAAAAAAAAAAAAAGCCCCAAGGGGGAATTGGTCCATTCAACTAAAGAGATTGTTAGTGTTTACGGGGGAGTACTATAGAAAGTTGTATAATATCAGTCCCCAGGATTCTTTAAATAATACTGAAACTGTGAATATTGAAAAAAAGGAAGACTTATCTAAAAAATGCGGGTCTACCTAAACTAAGCAAAGCACAATTGAATTCCTTAGATGTAGAAAGTACACAGGAAGAAATAAAAGTAGCACTAAAACGTACAGTGACGAGGAAATGTCCAGGACTAGATGGTTACACCGTGAGGTACTATAAAAAATACAGTGAATTATTAATACCTAAGTTGAAGAGATATATGAATGCCTTGGGAGGTGGGATGGATGTGAGGAGAGAATCTCTACAGGCCCATGTGGTATTTATTCATAAGGAAGGAAAAGATGCTTCTCAGTGCTCTAGTTATAGACCAATTTCATTATTGAACACAAATACTAAGTTATACACAAAGGTTTTAGCAAATAGGTTGAAAGAACTAATACTTGAATGGATACATGGGGATCAGGTGGGCTTTGTTCCCAGGGAGGGTTGAGAACCCTGATGCTCATTCAGAAAAGTAGAAAAGGAAAACCTCCGGTGGTAGTGCTTTCAATTGATGCCGAAAAGGCATTCGATAGAGTTGGGGCTTCATGATGGATACTCTGGAAGCCCTGGGGATTGGAGTTAGAATGAGAGAGTGGATAGGAAAATTATAGAGGGAGCCCTCCGCAATTATTATTAAATGGGGAGAGGTCAGAACCCATTGGGATGTCAAATGGAACAAGACAGGGCTGTCCACTGTCCCCATTGTTGTATGTTCTGTCATTGGAACCCTTGTCAACAAGAGGGAAAAATAGGGATGTAAAGGGAATTCAGATAGAAACTACAGAACACAAAGTGGCTGCCTTTGTGGATGACTTGTTGTTGTATGTGGGGAACCCCAGGATAACACTCCCAAATGTAATAAAGATAATGAATGAATATGGAGAACTATCAAACTTAAAAATTAATCTAACAAAAACTGAGATTCTAAACATTTATATTCCAAAAAGTGAAAAAGAAAAAATACAAAAGGAATTCCCCTTTATATGGAGAGAAAGAGATATAAAATACTTGGGAGTAAAACTCACTGCTTCATATAAGTATTTATATAAACTAAACTATATCTCACTGTTAAACGAGATTAAGGAGGAATTAAAAACATTAGAAGGAGGAAACCTGTCATGGATAGGACGCATAAACCTGGTAAAAATGGTAATTGTACCCAAAATACTATATAGATTTCAAATGACTCCAATTAAACTCCCAGAAGCTTTCTTTAGGACAATAAAAAGAATGATAACAAGACATATATGGAGGAAAAAAAACCAAGAATATCCTATGAATTGTTAAGTAGGAATAAAGAGAAGGGTGGATTGGGAGTGCCAGATTTTAAAAGATATTACAAAGCAGTAATTTTAGCAAGAATTTATGATTGGACGTATAATTTAAAAGGGAAAAGTTGGGTTAAAATTGAAAATGAACTTCGTGGAACTAATTTGAGTAAAATTATAAGGGGGCCAGCACAGTATAGAGGAATAAAAGGTAGCACAAGCTTATACACTTTAAATGTTTTCAGGGTCTGGGATAATCTACACAAAAATATGAAGTTGGATTTCAATTCTATATTAATACCACTTGGAAACACAGAGTTTTTCCCTCCAGGTAGAGAAGAGATAACAGGGAAATGGTTTAAAAAGGAGGATGTCCAACTGAGAGATATAATGGCGGAGGGGGAATTGAGAGCACTTAAGGATTTGGAAGAGAAAAAGGGATAGATTTTCACTAGGATAGATGAGTGGCGCTGTCATCAATTAAAATAATTTATTGGGAATCTCCTGAAACCCTTGAGATCTAAAAAGGATTGGAATCTGTTCGAAAGGTTGTTGGAATCACGAGGGGATGGGAAGCACGGTATTGACAAAATATATATAATACTCACTGAATTAGACACAAACACAAAGCCAATTTATATAACAAAATGGGAAAGAGATATGGGGGTGGTTATAGATGAGGATAAACAAAAAAAGATATATAGATTAATTCACGAGAATGTAAGTATGAGAGAGGTGGAAATAAACTATAAGTGTTTGACAAGATGGCACATTATACCAAACGTTGAGCACAAGATGAGTGGGGAGAATTCACCATGGTGTTGGCGGGGGGTGTGGAGGGATGGGCACAGTGTTTCACATATGGTGGGAATGTCCAAAAATTCAAGTATTCTAGAAGTCAATAGTTTATTCGATTGGGATGATAACTGAGATTGATATAGGGTTGGATCCAACGATCTGTCTTTTACATAGTATGGAGCTATCAGTAAATAAATATAAAGAATCAGGTATATGGTACTATCTAAATGCTGCAAAAGGTTTGATACCCAAGTTCTGGCGGAAAACAGAGGTGCCGAAGGAGGAAGGCTGGGTAGATAGAGTGAACCAGATTAGTAGGATGGAAAAACACTATCACATGCAGGAAGACAAGATGGGGCTATAATATGCGAAATGGGAAAAATCTGGATTGAATGTGAAATATAGGAAGTTATAATCTAGGATGATAGGTAAGGTTCTCTCTTGCTTTAGTAGAAAAGATGGGGGGAGAATGCAGAGTGGGTTGACGGGGGGAGGGATGGCCGGGAGTGGGAATAGTTTTAGAAAGGGTAATGAAGAATGGTTTTGGATATTTAAGTGTGTTTATGATGGAAATTTGTAATAATCTGAAAAATCAATAAATATTTAAATAAAAAAAAATCTAAATAACTGAATGAAGGTCTGCCGAAACTTCACATAAATAAATATAAATTGACCCAGTAGTTAAATTTCACCACAAAAAAAACGATATATATATATATATATATATATATATATATATGTGTGAAAAATAATAAATGTTCAAAAGTCCCACTCCCACTAGTGCCCAAAAAATATTCTAGTGCTTAGTATATATCTTTTGTGTGACACCTCTTAGTGCTCCACCACCAAGTGCCAGTATATTGCACTCACCAACCCTCCATGACCCCTTAATTAAAAGAAGCTTAATAGCACTTTGTGTCACTAGGGTTTATGCTCACAGTAGATTTCTTCTTTATATTCTCCCAATGAATCCGCAGTTTCAGATCCACATAAGTAAGAAAAGAGAACTCTTATAGTGTAATAGCTTTAATAAAATTTGTTTCCATGTAAACATCAAGAATGCACTCACAATTGTTGGTGCCAATCCTCGGTACTAATACACTCAGCTTTTCCGAGCTACCCACTGATCCTCTCTGTGGAGCCAGTGCGCGCCCCAATAGCCGGAAGCAGAAGTAATGTCAATGGACCCGGAGTGTTCTCTTTTCTGACCTATGTGGATCTGAAACACAAGGGGTCATGGAGGTTTGGTGAGTGCAATATATATTGGCACTTGGTGGTGGAGCACTAAGGTTTCGCACAAAGATGTATATATTGTTTTTTTTTTTTTATTAATTGTTTTTTTTGTGGTGAAATTTAACTACTGGGTCAACTCAAGTGCCAGACCTTTATTCAGTTATTTTAAGGTAATATAAGTGCATCCCTTGATAATAACCAAGCACAAGTGAATGAAAATATCCAAAAAGAATAGATGCCCTGCTATACATGCAATACCAAAAATGAACAAATCAATATGTGCAACTTCAACATATGTGCAAAATAGATAATCTGAGTATATCAAGGCATAAATAATAATAAATATATATATATCCTTAGGAGGAGCCAGTATGCCGTGACGTCACACTGCCAAAGCCTCTTGAAGGTCCGGCTGCCATCTTACTACAGGACGGTTAGTCCGTTTTTACTTGTCAAAATGCACTTGTTGTTATACTTGTTTTTAATTGAAATTTTTGGAATACTACTGGAATAAAGGGTTTCAAATTACTACACACTATGGCACACTTTATGTTTCCCGAGTGGTGTCATTAATCTCCTAGAATCAAGATCCACCATATTACACAGAGGAGGGAGTTCCTGCTACACAGGTTGCTACACCCACTCATCCCTTAAAGGGGACCTCTGGTTTACTGGATCCTCATACCACCCAGAAGTGCCTAGTCGTACCACCTATCCAGAGGGGAGGATATTTCCGTACCTGGCTTAATCTGCTACCTTAAAGAGGACCTCTGATGATTGATTTATATGTGTATTATCTTTACGCATCTGGTGAGTGCGCATTCTTACCCCACTTTTAAAAGTACAAGCACTGAAGTATTGCCATAGTGGGCACTCTGCACACGGATTGTCACTTCATAAAGATTTATTTGTATGGACTGCAATATTTTTTATATATACCTATTTATAGCGCTGCACTTTTTCCTGAAGATTAAAGATCTGATCACGTGTAGATCTGGGGGGGTTATTTATGCTCTCCAGTGTACTTGTGGCCTCCAATATAGTTGTGGCCTCCAATATATTGGGAGGACGAAGACACCCTTATGGAAAAGAATACATGAACACAAGCAGAATATTAAAAAACGGCTACCCAAAACACAGTGTTTCTAAAAACACTTTGCTATATGTCATAATAAAGATCCGTCTTCTTTAATACTTTGGGGAATTGAGAAATATCATCCCCACTGGAGGGGCAGTAACAAGATCCGTACTCTTAGTCAAGCTGAATCTTGTTGGATATACAATATACAAACTATGGCTCCGTTAGGACTGAATATAGAGTTTGATCTGAATTGTTTTATTAGAGATTTGTAGTTACTGAGCAGCCAGTCTTAGGCCCCATGTACACGGGCACATCTGAACGATGGAAACTGTCTGCTGGAAAACATAGGTTAAAAAATGTCTGTTTAGCTGCGTTTGCGCGTTTATGTACGTTTGCGTTTAGAAGAATTATTAACTATTTTAGACTGTTTCAGAGAAATACAGAGAGTAGAAGCAGAGAGAGCAGTAAGTGTTGAGATTATTTTAGGAGTGAGTTGCTCATTAACATTTCTTTTGTTTCCAAGGGTGGGAAGGTGTCTGGTGGAGTGAGTCATTAAGGTCACCTGGCAGGGGGTCTTCATGAGGAATTTGAGGTGTGAATGGTCATTAACATATCTTTTGTTTCCAAGGGAGGAAGAGGTCTGAGGTGTGAATTGGTCATTACAATGTGTGACAAGCTTGGTAGGAACATCCTGCGTTCAGTGTTTTGTCCATCTGAGTACCTTGCAAACGCTTTGCATGCATTTTTCATGATGACAAAAGGCTCTGGACAGCTTTGGGAACTGGAAGAGTTAAAATTTTTTTTTCAAAAACAAACGCTTATAAACGTGATTTGCTGCGTTTACAAGCATTTTGTGTTTGAAACGCTGATAAAATCGACTGCTGAATGCAAGTTTTCTACGTTTTAAAAAAAACAACTGTAACCTCAAATGCCTATAAACGACTGTAAACGAAGATGTGTACATGGACACATAGAAAAACATTAGGGTGAGTTCAGGGGCTGCTGAAAAAAATGCTGAACAGCTCCTAAATGTGAGTTTATCAGCTGCAGTGTACATGAGCCCTTACTTTTACCTAGGGTGCATTTTTATAATTTGCCACTAGAGGGAGCTATTGGGTGGTCCTCCGGAGTATATTTTAAATTGATTTTACTATGGAATTTTTTGTTGTATTTTTAATTTTCTTTTTTCTTCTGTATCTTTTTTAGTGGTTAGAGTTTTTAGTTCGTTTGGGCTGTTTTATATGATTTAGTGATTCTGAGATCCCTTATTGTACTACACATTTATTATTATGTGTGGTTAGGAGGTCTTTACCAATATTCATTCTATTTTTCATTGGTCTCCAATAAAATGGCCGCTGCTGTTTTTATCTCTATTTACTTGGTGCCGATCTTCAGTAAAATGGCTGCAGGAGTAAGGTGAGTTATTATCCTCTATTGTCAGCCAACATGAGTCACTTAGTCACCGCCTTCCTATCCCTGAGAAAGTGGCATGATTTGTGATGTAATGTGTATGAAGGAAATATGGAGACATAATTTCCGTTCGGACGGACAGACATCTTGGTACAGACATCTTAGTACACTTATTCCTTTGTATTTTAATACCAATGCTTGTATGGGTCTGCTGGCCTGATTTTACAAGTTGAGTATTCTATACCTGGTTTTTCATACATTAAACATGGACGTATTACACTATAAGATGTCATTTGATGTTTATTTGAACATGGATTTCTGATGTGGAATTGGAGAAGGAGCCAGTAAAGTACTCTTACAGAGGAGAGCTGGTTGGATTTAGGATTGATATTAAAGCACACTTGACCTATAGTCACTATAGGTCAAAATGGGAGGTGAGCGTGCACGCTAGCTGGTAGAGGATTTTTAAGCGTGATCACTTTTTAAGTCACGTGTGGAATATATGCTGATTTGAAGATTGTTCTGCATTACAAATCTTGATTTTTTTCTACATTTACAGATCTTTATTCACAGACTCTCACTGGGTTGAGAGATCAGCCCGATGCTTATTTAATTTTAATGTCACTTAACATTTTCTTTTTTTTTTTGTGTGCTTTGTTATTTTATTATTATTTTTATTTATGGCTTGATATACTCAGATTATCTATTTTGCACATATGTTGAAGTTGCACATATTGATTTGTTCATATTTGGTTTTGCCTAGCAGGGCATCTATTCTTTTTGGATATTTTCACTCACTTGTGGTTCATTATTTTCAAGGTATGCACTTGTATTACCTTAGGTAGCGGCTCTGTCAGGTGTTTACTTTTTGCTTTATGGTTAGGTTTAGTGAGTAGCGCAGCACTATTTACTTATTCTATAAGGTAATTTTATCACCGTATTTATCATGCCCTATGATTTGATGAGGATTTATCTCTTGTAGCACAGAATGGAACTCAGTGCATGGGTAGTATATTTTTTTCTCTGTTGTGTGGCTTCAAATTATTATAGTTCTTATAGTTATTTAGGTTTATTATAGTTACTTAGGTTTACATATTTACTAAATTAATTTGAGTTAATTATTTTTGTCTGAGTATGGGTCACGGAGCTAAACAAAAATGAAAAAAAAAAAAAAACTAGAAAAAGAACCCCCCTGTAGAGCATGGAGCTGCTACATCCCTAAACTTATAACAAAGCACACTCCCAATACCCCTTTAGACTTTGAGGCAGCAACCAAACATTAACCATCTTTAAAATAATATAATTTTATTTATACATGGTTAAAAGCAATTAACATGGGATACCCAGCAGGGCTTAAAATTTCAAGTCCTGAGCTACTAGCCAGGCCTTAGAGTTACTCGCCACCAACAAACACACACAAACAGAGACACCTGTACACACACACAGACATGTACATACACACACATATACACACACAGAAACATGTACACACAGGCACAGAGACACATGTACACACACACAGAAACATGTACACACACGCACGGAGACACATGTACACACACACACACACATACAGACACATGTATACACACACAAGCACGTACAGACACGCATACACACAGATACATGTACATACACAGAAATACACATGCACAGACACATGTACATACATACACAGACACATGTACATACATACACAGACACATGTACACACAGACACATGTACGTACATACTGTACATACACACAAAAACACACACATGTACATGCACACACACACACACACAGACACATGCACACACACACAGACACATACACACACAAGACACATGTATACACACACACACACACACACACACACACACACGTACACACATACATGTACATACACGGAGACAGATACACACATGTAAATACACACAGACACATGTACAATTGTACATACAGACAAACACAAACACACACACACACACACATGTACACGTACAAACAAATACACACACACCCCATAAAAAGTTGCAGTACTTCGTTGTTCACTCACAGATCCGGGTACTGCACTCTAGGGGGAGGCAGAGAGCACAGCACACACTCCTTCCTTTGCTTTCACTGCGCTCAGCTATCGAGCAGTCTGACAGCTCCCAGTGCCAATGACAGATCTGGCCTGAGCTCCGAGCCTGTTCAGCAATAAGGCCCTAGGGGACACACTCACCCCACCATTATTTCCACTCACCATTGGCAAGCAGGCGAGTAGAAATTTCAAGCCCTGCCCTAAAATATGTGGTACCAATATGATATATCCACCATACAATATACATCAGCCCTTATAAAATAAACAAAAATGAAAAATGTACATACATACAATTAAAAAAACAAAACAGATTACGTGGGAAGAGCTGCTCTAATCCAAACTGCAGGTGCGGCAAAGCGGCCTGGTCTTACCTCCAGTGCCCCATCATCACATGACAATAATATTACCATGTTAAAGTTCTGGAATGTAGGTGTTCTAGAATTCCCAAATGCTCCCACGGGTGTCAGCTTCTGTTTCTAATGTACCTGTGATGGGTGCATGGGATATTCCAGCATGGACAAGCCATAGTGGGGGTGAATAACTGTTTAGTATGTGGTGTGTGGTGAAAACTCCTTTTATATCTGTGTTTACCACAGACACAGAGGACTGAAGAGGGACCTTACTTTAGTTGGTTGTGGCAAGCTGCTACCAAGAAGAAAGAGAGAAAAATAAAAGGTTGCTGCCTCCAACATGCCACCAAGTGCTGGACTATGGGTGCAAGCCATGTAAAAATGTTGTTACCTTTTCATTTCTTTTTAACCAATGCATAAAATACACACATGATTGTGGTTAAGGTTTTACGTCAAAACATTTAATGCAAAACTGAATATGTTATTTGTCATATCCAGCGCAAATGTGGCGAATCTGTATGATGTTCTGTCAGCAGCATTTAAACTAGTTTTGTAGGTTAATATGTCTTTATGATAATGGTTATGGGAACATAAAATTAGCATTGTGACGTGTTATCTGCCTATAAATTGAACAATATGACATTTGAGCAAACAGTGGGAATGTTCAGCAAGTTCTGTACATTGTGTCCCTACTTCTCACACAATACACTCATAGAAAAACTGGATTAGGAGAAAATGTGACCTGTACAAATATGAACTCTGTCCTGACTGAAACATTGCAGTACACTGTACTATGATCTCACATATAATGGTGATTGGCCTCAAATAGCAGGGACAAGCTGTGATGTTTACCAACAGAGGGGCATAAACGTCAGCTACAACAAACCATAACAATTGACATTAAATGTTCCAGTACAATTTAAGGAGGAGCTCTTTTTTAAGCCAACGTAATGGCCACTGCCTGTGAACGCTTTTTCTTTCTCTGTGTACACAACCCTTTCTTCTTTCAGCTGCATTTTGTGTTTACGAAGTCTGGGTGCCTACCTACTCAAGGTTAATTTTTTATACCCAGACAAAATTGAAATGGACTAGGCCACCATACACCCAAACTCATTGTGTTTTTAATGTGGTGGTCTTGTTACACTGATCAGTGACAAAATGCAGACCGGGTGTTATGTCAAGACAAAACAAAAAGTGTATGTCAGAGCAAAATAAACACATAAAAATCCATTTATTGCAAGCTATATCCCCTTAAAGACACTGCAAGTTCAGAAAAAGTACCTGTTAGTGTGCCAGAAATACACTTAGCAACTAAGACAGATTGTGGGCTTTCACCACACAGTATTTTTTGTTGCCAGCCATGACCGGTTGTTTTCACTAAAACCCTCTTGCTCTGCTCATCTCTACAATATAAACACCAATTATTCTATAGTCCAAAATAACAACTAGAGGGCTACTCAAGAGGACTTGAGATAACCCAGGAAGGGTGCACCATACAAAGAACAGGATCAGCTCTTTCACAAGGATGATGCTTGATTACAGTTAAGTGAATATAAAATAATTTCTTATATATAATTTTGTATTATTATACCCAGCTCACAATGGAAGACACCTTATACCCAGCTCACAATGGAAGACACCTTATACCCAGCTCACAGACGCCAATGGAAGACACCTTATACCCAGCTCACAATGGAAGACACCTTATACCCAGCTCACAATGGAAGACACCTTATACATTTTACTCTCTGCTCTCCCTTTAGAAAACACATAGTTAAATACCTAGATTTTTAAGTACTTGCACAGCATACTTGGAACAATATTGCAGACTCGCCTCCAATCCTGCTCTTTTCCTGTGCTGACAGGTCCACTCCATTTACCACTGCTGCTTCTGCATGGTCTGGCTTCTTATTTCTTTGGCTATTGGGCAGCCACTTGTAAGCAGGTGCTGTCTACTTTGTCCACTGCAGGTGGTGCTCAACTGCAGCAGCATGGCAGAGGGAGGGATAGTTAAGAGTAACAATGCTCCTCTATGGTTTCCTGGGTCCCTGGGGAAGCTATCCGGTCGGATGCTGCCTACCCATGTGACTCTGGTGGCCATCTTGGGTAGGCAGTCTATTTAAGACTCTGGCTCCCACGTTTGGCACACATTTCACGAGTGGGTAGTGTAGGGACAAGTCAACGATCTGTCGGGGAAAGTAAATAGCAGTGGAGAAAGATTCTAGATGAGTAGCGGCAGGACAGGGACTCGCCATCCTTCCTGGAATCCTTCCACTTGGGTGCAGACTGGCCAGGCTGCATTCCACCCTCTTAGACAGACACTGTCGGCACACTCAAGACCTGCTCCGTTCTCCAGTGTGGATAAATCCTGTGAAGGTTCCCAGTCGGGTGACTTCCTGTCAGGCTGATTGTAAGTTGAACTTTGACTTTATGACAAGTTCTGTTCTCACACCTGGACTTTGTGTCTTCACTGTTCATAATTCATTATTCTTTTATTTCATGCAGGCAGAGTAACTACCTGAATTTGAGCTAGTTTTAGCTTTTATACAATCCACTTGGAAGAAGCAGCTCAGGAAACTAGTCATTTGTACCTTATGTCTTAAAACATGCTGACATCCACCTGCCAACCTTAAGCACCATCCATACCAAGCCCAGCTACTTCCGTAGCCACTCCTATTAAGAAGAAAAGTGATGATAGACTAACATTATGCCGTCCAATATGAGTTAAATATTTTTTTAAGCATGGCAGAGCATAGATAACAAGCAAGATGGAAGCCATTAAAATGACTACAATATTGGTTAGAACAAGTGGGCCGGTCCATCATATATTCTAGCAGACTGTCAAATAAGATTTGTAGAAACAGTGTTGAGTGTGACTAACCTACCCTTTACCAGTTTGCTCCTCCTAGTGAAAAGCTGAATAAAACTATAAACTATCTGAACTTCAAAATGTTAAAGGCCAGAGTCTAAATTGCTATGATTTTTAGAGACTAACTTCAAACCTGTGAAAAAGGTTAAAATAAAAACTGTATGAAATAGTACGGCTTCATAAGGAGAACAGATATTTCCAGTTGCAAAATGCAATTTTTTAAGGATAGAAGGAGAAGCTTATCAGGTTTAAAATAGCCCTTTATAAACCCCTTTAATGTCTGCTTAACTGAAAATTATCTAGTACAGGGGAAATTATCCCTGCTAAGATTTTACTAATATGAACATGAGAAACCTATTAAATAGTTAAGGATCTAATTATACCATGTTATCAAGAATCAAGTTATAGGATCTAATATACAGAGAAGGGACAATGGGATTTTTGAAAATTCAAAATAAAGCAAATCTACAAAGCCCATGCGATTGAATAATTGGCCCATATTGATGGTTCTACAGACTACCTAATGTTACCAATAAAAAAAAGAAAAAGTCTAAAACAGATACCAAAGGTGTTGTGGGAATACCTTTCCTGCCTTGAGACATCTGCAAATGTGATAGAGAATCTGCAACAATATCCTCTACTTTGCCTGGAACATACTTAGCCATAATCCAGATATTCAGATAAAGGCATTGAAAATCTAAATGTCTCAATAGCTTACTGATTGGCAGTGGAAGATAGGTAATTCAAGGCACAAAGTACTCCTTTATTATCTGTCTAAATGAGGCTATGATTGCTAACTTAGAGTTCCCAAATTTCAAATGCAACTATAACGGTAAATAGTTCTAAAATAACTGTTTCTAGCTAAACCAGAATTAACAGCATGCAAGGCCAACTACCCGCCCACCACTGTCCTCTCCAATAGGCAGCAAAATGACAGATCAACGTAAAATCCCCTATTCATAATGAAATCCTGTTACCAGAATAACAAACTATTGATGTCCTTTAAATATTTAGGCTAAATGTGAAGGTCCTGTTTCATTTAAGAAGAAAGACCAGAGTGTCTGAACTGGGATTTAATGCCCGTGATGGATAAATGAATTTTCAGGGAGAATATTTTAAACACTGGTAATATTTAGATACAAATGCTAATAATCCAAGCAAAAGATTCAATTTTGTTCACCATACCCTATTCTGTTTAAGAAAAAGCTCAATGAGGGATTTAACCTGTCAGATTTATCAATAGATAGTCTAAGTTCTATATGTGCTGTATCCATAGTCATCCTTAGGAATTCCAAAATAGCATAACTGATATTTCAAAAGCCAGTACATTATGCACATATATTACTGAATTTATTATACCCCTGAACAGAATCAAGGGAAATGGTAACTCCAGCAAATAAAAAATCACCCAAGTAATGTAAAACAGTGTCTGAACCAGACCTAACTCCTAAAACCGTAACTTGGCCAAGTCTAAAGGCCTGTTGTGACGGGAGTGACTTTTGGGGGTGGGGGGACCTCTGTGTCAGCTCATGTTCCCCTCATTATGTTTAATCCACCCTGTGCCTGTTAAGGGGTACAGGGTGTGAATGTGAATGTAGTAGTATTGTGTATTTGTGTGTTGTCCTTTTGTTCTCCACCATGTGGCTGTCCTTTGTCCTGTTGCCATGTGCTGCATCCCATTGTTCTGTGTCTTGGTTGGATGGGGAGGGGTGAGGATGTGTTTCCTGTAGCCCTTCCCACTGATGGGGTGGGCTGATGATATGTTTCCTGTTCCCTGGTTGTGTTTCCCCACCCTGTGTATATAACTTGTTGTTTGTGTAGAAATAAAGAGTTGACTTCCTGTTTTAGGAAAAGTCGGGTGCTGTCTATTTCCTGAGGGATTTCAAGGATGTGGTCCGTGGATAGTGTTCGGACAGGGGGAAGCTGCGGCATAACGGGACATACCCAAGTGTGGTCTGGGGTCCGGTTCCGTTAC